CAGAAAGTAGTGGCTGTCAATAGTGAGGCTGATGGCCTGGGGTGGTGTTTGGGAGCCAGGGTGGAGGAAGATAATGGGGATAAAAGAGGGTACATCTGTAATACTTTCAACAATAAAGATAAATTGAAAAGAAAGTAGTGGTTGTCAAGGGCTGAGGGGTGAGGGAAATGAGTTGTTGTTCAGTGGTATTAAGTTGAAGTCAGGAAGATGAAAAAGTCCTAAACATCTGTTGTACAACATTGTGCTTACAGTTACAAATACTGTATTGTACACTAAATTGTTAAGAGTGTAGATCTCATGTTATGTGCTTTTTACCATAATTTTTATAAAGGGGGAAAATGAAGAAAATGTTTTCTTGATATTTTTCTGGAGACTGTATGTAAGTAAAAATTGAAACAGGGATTCTTTGGAATTTATTTTATTTTTTTCCTGGATTGCCCCAATCTGGATTCACTCTTAGTTTGGTTGAGAGGATTTCTGCAATTATATTAAAATATTAAAATGCTTGGTTATGAGTAGGAGTAACCATCAAAGCAATAACTCTGCAGAGCAGTCATTAAACATTTCAGAAAGGCATTAAAATGCTTGAAGATGTGATTTTTAAAAACTCAATTGAACTATCTGGTAGAACCTTCTGGGATGGCAGATGGAAATGTAGCCATAGCCACATGAGGCTGTTGGACACTTGAATTGTGACTAGCATGATTGAGAAACTGCATTTTTAACTTTAATTCATTTAAATTTAGTCACAGATGGCTACCATGTAAGGCAACACAGGTCTAGAAACGTCAGAAAAGTTAATTGGGGTATGAATGAAGTAGGAATTCAGTCCTAAGCATTTTGGATTTGAAATAAAAGCTGAGGAAAGGAGACCAGAACTTCAGCTTACGGTTTTAAAGTGAATCTTGGATATGATATAATCCGATTTGTTTTGTGTTTGATCCTATCAGCTTTACAAAGTTGATAGAAAATATGTGGAGGAAAAACACTTTCAGTAAAATGAATTTACCATAGAATTTATGAGCTGCTTTGATCATTTGAAAAATTTTGTTTTTCACCTTCATATAAATATCCAAAGCAGCCAACTGAGACAATAGTAGAGTCCTCACCATAAAAGGTGCTCCTTATGGAGAAGCAGTAACTAGATTGATCATTTCAGTGGAGATGCCATTTTACAGTGCAACTGAGGAAGGGAAAATAATGTTAGTTTTTCCTACTCTTCAGTGTCTAAACATCTCTTAGATCAGGCCATACCATTTCTTCCCAGCGGGTGTGTGTGTGTGTGTGTGTGGCCCAGGGGCTACATTTCCCCCAGAATTGTATTATTGAAAACACAGATCTCATCCACAGATCCGCTTAAGAAATTTTACCGCAAATCAGTTTATAATATAATGTTCCACACACATTTTTGGATGCTGCTTTTCACTTTTGGAGTTAATGGGTTAAGTAGACATTTGCTCAGGTAATGGGAACAAAATTGATAAAACATTAAAAAAAATTTTATTGATTGATTTTAGAGAAGGAGAGAGAGAAAGATTTGTTGTTCCACTTATTTATGTATACATTGGTTTGTTCTTGTATGTGCCCTGACCCGGGATCGAACCTGCCACCTTGGCTTATGGGAGATGACACCCAAACCAACTGAGCTACCCAGGCAGGGTGGTAAAACATTTTGTTAGCATAATGGCAACAAGAATTTTAAAGGTATTTATAACCTAAACCCTAGTAAATTCATATTTGGGAATCTTCCTAAAGAACTAGCCTAAATACCACAAAATATACCTCAAAAATCTCTTTGTACAAAGATATTCAGCACAGCATTATTTGTAATAGTAAAAACTGTACACAATTTTAATGTTCAACAAACGGGAAATAATGAAGTAAATTGTAATTGCTAAAATGATGTCTTCCCACATCACTTTGTGCATGCGTCTACTGTGGAAAATATGGTATGTATATACAGTTATATGCAGTTCTGCTGATCTAACACTCCCTTGTGTCCCCACTGTGCCTAGCATAGTGTACATATTTAATAAACATGTGCTGTATAAATGAATGTTGGCACAAATGAAATTGCATTTCAGTTGCTAACCAACTGGTTAAAACTAAGAGATGTTATATTCTTTTAAGTGCAGTAATATGCAATAATTTTCAGTAATCTGAAAATGTATTTCAGATGTAAACATCTCCTATTCCAGAAAATGTTTTTGTAACCAAAATAACAATTTCAAGCATTTAAAGGTAAATTTGGTTGATAAATGTATCAAATAGTGATTTTTATAAACAAGTTATTTTAGTAATCATTCTGCATTTCCAAATTCCCTTTGTACACTTTTCTTTTTCTCTATATATATTTTCTATTACTTTTGTGTAGTTTTATAAGTGTAATTAAAAGATTCCACTTATCTCCCTATTGATATTTTTCTCCTCAAACCTACGGTTTGTCCTCACAGTCAGTTTTTCTGACTGCTTTGTTTATTTGAAATGATCAGTTGTAAAGGGAATAGCTTTTCACATAGTGCATCAGGCTATATTATATGGAGAGTATTTGAAATTTTACTTTCTATAACTTACAGAGACTAGCAAAGGGAAGAAATCTGTTATTTTCTTTTAAATTATTTTTTGGGCTAAATCTTGATTATGGTTGATGTAAGCAAGAAATACCAGTATTAGAAATTTGAAGTTACTTATTTTTACATAGAGTCCTCTGGTGTACTTGACCAGTAAATTGAGATATATTTGTCATCACTTTATAAACATAATGTACATGCTTAGTTCTTTCTGAAAATTTAGCAGTTTAAGATGGTCATTCTTTAATATATTTATTTTAATGGAACCCTGAAAATTGATGACAATTTTGTGCCAAGCTCATAAGGGCAGGGAGACCATATCTGTTTTGTTCACTCTGTATCCCCAGTGTCTATTAGAGATCTGATTAGGCTCTTTAAAAACATCATTGAATGCCTGACTGCCTACCTTTGCCAACTTGTTTTGTGACTGCTAAAATCCCTACTAAAGTAAGAGATTTTAGCAACTATTCTGTGTTTGGTAGACTCTCTGTAAGGAACAAAAAGAGTCAAGATTACTTTGTGCAGAGAGAAAGAAGGATGAGGAAAGGAGGGAGGAAGAGAGAGAAGAGAACCATGATTAGGTTTTACTTTCTCTAGTGAATTCATAGACACTCTAGTGGTTTTTCCCTTAGAAGCAGGCTTCTGTTGATGCTTCCTCTGGTGCTTCTACATTATTCTGACTTGGCTCCTGCTTGAGTGCTGTCTTGTTCCACTTTTCTCCATCAGGTTACATTGCTTTCATGTGACTCCAGTGCTCTAAGAGTTACTTCTAATATTCTAGAATCTTACTGTTCCAGCTAATTACCCTCAACTCTATATAGGCAGAACTTTATCATCAAGGCACCCATGGAATGCAGATCAGCCTCCATGTTTATTGGTTAGTGGCAGCTATTTTCAACCGGTGTGCTGCAAGAATCTTTAAAACATGTGATACTTGACCAGTTAGTTGGGGGCACTGACCTCTCTTCCCTTAGATTTTCAAATAAAATAAAAAAAAGACAATGGCCAACATAATAATAGCCATTCAGTGTAAATGAATCAACATTTATACCTTTTTTTTTTTTCTTGTCAGATCAGCAAAAAATGTATTTTTGGTGTGCTACAGAATTTTAGTAATTAGTCAGCTGTGGCCAGGAGACAAGGTCATATGAAAGAGATAGTGCCATCTTCAAATAAGGAACCACCTGGAGCTACCTCCTCAGTTTAGAAGCTTCCTGAGGAGAGCTTTAGGTGACACCTAAAGCTTAATACGCTCCTTTCCAGTTCCCATGCTCCGTAACTTCCAGTCATTGTTTAGAATCTTTGTAAACCTGGCGTAGTTCCTATTTTTATGTTATGGTTTTAGAGGGCTTCTTTTTAGAACTTTAAAATATTGCTTTTATTATAGAAAGTTAAGTGGCCATTTCTTCTATTTCTTCTCCTGGCTAAGCAGGGCTTCAAAGCCTGAGAGCCCCTGTCTGACTGTTCCTGCTCTTCCACATACCAATGGAGAAGGAAGTTATTCTCTGGTGAATTTTTGTGGCTTACAGATAATCACACTTAAATGGGGACACCAAAATATTTTTTAATTAAAAATTTATCAAAACAGTTTAAAACATAAAAATATCCAACAGATCAATATACCACAATCTACCAGTTGTTAATACTAAATAGAATAGCAAGTGTAACAATAAGTATTGTTGCATTCTCCCATTACTTAGGTTACAGTAATCTCTGCTTCTCTACTTTTCTTACTTAAGCTTCAAAACTTTATATTTGATATGATTATCCCTACTTTATTTCAAAAAAAACATAGCCTGGCTGGTGTGGCTTAGTGGATTGAGCATCATTCCATGGACTGAGAGGTCCTGGTTCAATTCCTCTTCAGAGCACATGCCCAGGTTGTGGACTCAGTCTCTGGTGGGGAGCATGCAGGAGGCAGCTGATCGGTGTGTCTCTCTGACATCGATGTTTCTATCTCTCTCTCCCTTCCTTTCTCTAAAAAATCAATAACATTATAAAAATAAAAATAAAAACATAGATTAAGTCATTGCTTTGGGGAGTTGCTTGTAATTTAATTCTTTTAATTTAACTTTTTCTTTAGCTTTCAATTTGAGGTCTGACAGTGTACTAGTATACTATTAGATAGGTTTTTATTATGGAGGTTGATATTTTTCAGTCATGTGAACTATGGACTAAAAAACCTACAGTGCTATAGAATGTGACTGAGAAAGTGACATTTTGGAAGCCTATGCATCCAGCACTGTGGTAGGGGCTGGCCCCATTATCTTACTCATCACACAATGGTCCTATGGGTTTTTTTGGATCTGAGACCTAACACTCTGATTTTACATAATTCTATATATTTTAATACCTTAGCAATAAATATGCACCAACTTAACTTTTCTTGAAAGTTATTATTAATACATAAAACTTTTCTTTTAAAAACAGGATAAAAGAATTAGAGTATCTCAACCCTTGACAAGAGGACCAAGTGCCTTTATTCCAGAGAAGGAAGTAAGTTTATCTGTCTTAAAATTTGTAAAAGTGTGATAAATAATAATTATATCAAAGAATGTCTGCATTTTTTTCCCTGCAATTTTTAGCTTATTTAATGGTCTCGCAGAAGCATGGCTAATGTCACTCAATCTCTGGTTCCTATCATATGTGTGGCACAAGAAAAATCACCTTTTTGAGCCTGCCAGGCTGAAAGCGAGACTCCTTTGGGATGCTGCCCTAAGGGTCAGGTCTGCGTTTAAGAATTTTATTATGATGTGTCTTGGTGTCATTTCCTTTCTTGTGCTTGAGGTTCATTGAGCTCTGAATTGGTGAGTTTTTAGTTTTAATTTTGGATAGTGTCTTCATGGTTACTAATATTTTCTTCTGCAATGTCTAATCTACCATTAATCTCATCCAGTGTATCCACATTTCAGACATTAGAGTGTTTCCATTATTAATAGGGAAGTAAACATGTATTTTGCTCTTGTTTTTTATTTATGTGTCTGAAAACCACAGAGATATATTTTCAGTTCTCTTAAAAGATTATGTGTGTAAATAATCTTCCTAGAATAATAGAATTAGGTAGTACTACAAGATTAGGAACATAAATTTTAGCACATTTGATTTCAAATGTAACTTCCCTGAGCAAAGCTGCTAACAGTAATACAATTTAAAATTAATCTGAAGATTTAAGGTTTTGAAATGGCCACTGCTTCATGGTGATTATAGGTTATATAAATGTTAAGAAAAGATATTTTGAAATGAAAAAGTAAGTTTCACAACTAAACCTGTTAAATTTCCTTGTTAAACCTGTTATTAAACAAAACATGGTATTATTACATCACTAGTAATTATTCTTATCATTTGGTTCTAAATCTTGATTGCACTGAATGTTACAGAATCTCTGGTACAATCTGTACCTTTGGTGAGGGTGGAGAGTTAAGGTGGTGAATGCAAGAAAGAAAGGTTGTAAAATGACGCAAAGGAAATTAAAATGAGTACAAGATAGGTGCCTGTTATGTGGATGTTCATCTCTATGAAGATCACAGCAATGTGTAGTAACTTCGAGATTCCTAGAGGCCTCTTAGATACACATGGGCTAAGAAAAGTTTGGGCACCACTAAGGAATATTTCTCTGCTTCAAGGGGTTATTACCTCATATTGAATACAGTTATATATACTGATTCACTATGTATTCCAAAAATAGCATTTATTTTAAAGCACCAACATAATTCCCATATTGTTCTGAAATTAGTCCACAAATATTTATAGAGCATCTATTTATCAGATATTGTCCTAAAGGATGAGTAGAATTCAAATAAGACATGCCAGGTCATTGCCAAAGTCAGCAGTTCCTTTACCTTTATTTCACTTTTTTAGTGACCTTGCAATTTAAATGAAAGTTAACAGTAATGTTTCAGAAGCTCAGTGACTTTAGCTGATTTAGGTAGTGACAATGCATTAGAGAAAATGCCGTGCTAGTGCCTAGTTCGCTCATAGAGCATAGGGGATATATATAAAGACTTTCTCCTGATACAGTCATTTGCACAGTACATATTTGAAGATAATCTGATTTGCAGAAGTCACTACTGTTTTCAGGATCTATTGCATCATATGAATCATTTATTAGTTAGGCATCAGTTAGGCAGAAGAAACTTCTGCTTGGGAAAACAAAACAAAAAACAACAAATACTCTATCCTAATTATATGTAGTTTACGTGGATCCTATTATATTTTTAATGATCATCTTGATCCCTATAGTTGACAAAATGGGGAAAATAGTAAATGAATATATATTTTGGCTTTAAAGTGAGCTAAAGTGGAATTACTTTTTTACACCATTGTAATGAACATTTCCTCACAATTTACACTTTTCAAACATTATTTTCTTTGGGATTAAACTTTTCTCAGTCAGTAGTGCCTTTTATATAACTTATTTTAAGAAGAGGCTGTTGTGCCCTGGCCATTTTGGCTCACCGGTAGAGCGTAGGCCTGCGGACCAGAGAGTCCTGGTTCGGTTTCCACAAAGGGCACGTACTTCGGTTGCAGTTTGTCCCCGGCCCTGGTTGGGGTCGTGTGAGTGGCAGTCACTCGATGTGTCTCTCACATCAGTGTTTCCCTCTCTCTCTTCCTTGCTCTCTCCCTCCCACTCTATCTGAACATAAATGCAAAAATGTCCTCAGGTGAGGATAAAAAATAAAGATTAAAAAAAGAGGAGGCTGTGGAGCCAGCCCTGGAGAGTTAACAGGATTTCTTACTTGCATTGTGGATTTTTGTAATGACCGTTAGTCTGGCCTTTAGGAGATCTGGATTCTAGATCAGGCTCTGCTAATAACTAGGTGCATGAGTTTGAATTTAATCTTGAATCTAATATAAGGAATACATGCTTCTTAAGTCTAGAATTCGGACTCTAAAATGTCAAATAATGAACCAGTACTAGAAATAGCATCTCATGTCTATTCATTCCCACAGAATTGGGTCCTTCTACAAGGTGCTAATAAGTTCTTTACACCTTCCAAGCCAATTCTTGATGTGATGCTCAAGCTGTCATTGTGTATAAAACTATATATAAATAACCTATTTTTTAATAAGCTCTATGGATTCCCTAGGATGGAGGATATCCATTTTAATAACTGATCTTGTTTTTGTAATTAACACGATAGGCTCAAAATAGGAATTCTAGTGTCATTAATTTTTCAATTAACATGTTCCTACAAATTGTATTATTTTTTTCTTTGTCCCTAAAAAGACCTCAGAAAAAACCTCTTTTTAATATTGAATAACAAAAATAAGCAAAGGATCAGACTGAAAATATTAATGGGATTAAATATCTTTATGAGGTATTGGGATAAAATTATAAATGTATGCAATCAAATGCAACTGCTTTTGCCTCACTACAATTGGTGTGATAATGGCCACGCATGCGGGCCCTGAAAAATGTGCCTTATGTTCCTGGCACAGCAGATGGGAGAGTCTTTTCTCTGATTTTATAGCTGTGTGTGTAGTGTTTGATAATTTGACATTTGTTGTTTAATAAATTGTGGTACCAGAGCCAAAAATGAGTAGTGCTTTCTTTTTCCTTCTGTTTCCCATATGAGCAACTGTGTAATTCCAGCATCTGTTAATATCAAAAGAACATTCATTTGCTTCAATAGTGGCATAATTTATGTAAACCAAGGATGTGTTTACTTCTCAATAATTATCTTGTTTTGGGTTTCTTGGTTGTAAGGTTGCCCAAGCAAACACAGTGGATGAACGTACTAACTTTCTTGTGGAAGAATACTCTACATCCGGTCGTCTAGACAACATCACCCAGGTCATGAGTCTGCACACTCAGTACCTGGAGTCTTTCCTGCGAAGCCAGTTCTACATGCTGCGCATGGACGGCCCCCTTCCTCTACCACACAGGCACTACATCGCAATAATGGTGACACTGCCCTCACTTACTCCTTCTTCCTTCTAGTATTATGTATGTGGGTGTGTAGAGCTAAGTATACTTTTATGGACCTAAGGATTGAAGAAGTGTGTGGCCTTTTGGATACCAGGTCCCTTGGCTACATTCTGAATGCTTTAAACCACTTGATGTACTGAAAATTTCTCATTTAATTTTTGCTAGAATCATTTTCCATATTTACTTTCTGGTGATTAAAGATGCTAGTGCTGTGGGGACCAAACTAATATCCCACAATTTTGATTTTGCTCTTGATATCTTATTTTTATTATTAATATAAAACAGGTCGTGACATTTTATTTAGTTATTTTATACATGAAAATAATTACTATTTTGGTTAACTAAGAGGAAAGTATCAGTCGGCACCAATGGAGACTCTGGATGAGAGAAGTTTTAAATGAATTGTAATACTTTTAAGTATAGTACTTGGTACTAGTTAACAATGTTGCAGGGGAGGGGGCATTATAAATTGGGATGATAGGCAGCAGGAATGAGAAGTGTGGAAAGAAAGAGCTACAGTTGAACTACTATCAGAGAAGAAGAGGAATGAGAACATGATACGAGTGCTATATATTTGGAGACTTAGACCATCTGGCCGAGCTGGCAGAGTTAGCCAGGAGTTAGATTAGTTTTACCATGTTCAATTTGATGATCTTGTTTATGCTCTCACTGGAGTTTATATCAAACACAAAAGGCAGCGTTCTGTGTTTTATTGAATGATAAACTTGACTAAGAAAATAATTTTAGCTTAAGGTTTTCATGACAGTAAGCACTGAAAGCAGACCTAGGATGGTCATAAACTAAGAAACGAACAAGATAAAGAAAATAGAAGGAATAAAACAACACTATTTTACTGAGAAGGAGTCCTGAGGAAAGGAGTCGTGAAAAGTTTGTTTTGTGTGGATTTGCCAAATTGTTAGTATCGTGGCCGATTTTGACTGCATAGGAAAGAAAGGGTCAGTGATCTTTCGTTTCTTCTCAATAGAGTGGTGTGCACAGATAAGACTACTGTCACATTTGTATGAAAGGCAACAAGAGAATTACCCAAATTAGCATGCAGCCTGAATTAGTGGAATACAACAAGTTAATGAGATTTTGTTTTAAATAGAATACAGTTGATATAATTTACCATAATGAAACAAACATGTATTTTCTTAACAAAACAAGAAAGTAGTTTCTAAGTTGACTGACAACAACTTCTAGATGGGGAACTACTTGGCTTCATGTGACAATTTATGTGCTTATACAAGTGTCAGCTTCATGTATTGATTCAAGAATATGTGGCATCATTGTGATGAGAGTTTTAGGAGGATTCTGTAAAAGAATTATTGACTATAAAAATGATTAATTCCATCTTTATATTTGTTTAGAAATAGTAGAATAAGACTCTACATGATTGTTTTATCAACTGACTCTCTGTGTTTTAGGCTGCAGCTAGACATCAGTGTTCCTACTTAATAAACATGCATGTGGATGAATTTCTAAAGACAGGAGGTATCGCTGAGTGGTTGAATGGTTTGGAATATGTACCACAAAGACTGAAAAATCTTAATGAAATAAATAAGCTGCTAGCACACCGACCCTGGCTGATCACGAAAGAGCACATTCAGGTACTGAGTATTTCTTTGAAATAAAAAAGATATTTATTAATGATCCTAAGTAATTTTTTAAAGTATTTTGCTTAAGACTCAATTTTAAAAGCTTCTGTAATAGGAACTTGAAAAATAAAATAGTCTATTAATATATATATAGAAAAGCCCTGGCTGGTTTGGTCAGCAGTTAGAGAGCATTGGCCCTCATACCAAAGGGTTGCAGGTTCTAGTTCTGGTCAAGGGCACATCTCTGGGTTTCAGGTTCAATCCCTGGCCCCAGGGAATTGTGCAGGAGGCAGCTATTTGATGTGTCTCTCTCATATTGTTCTCTCTCTTTCTCCCTCCCTCCCTCCCTCCGTTCCACTCTCTAAAAGAAATCAATGGAAAAATATCCCCAGGTAGGATTAACAACATACATACATACACACACACACACAGAAAAATAAATTTAGGAAGTCAGTGGGTTTAATATAAGTATGAATGAATGCTTCTCTTTGAGTAATCAGTAATTAGCTTGTACAAGTGCTTTAGTGGCTATGAAAAAAGTTGATTTCTATTTTCAAACTGGATAGCACAAAGAAAATAACACTAGAATGACAGGATACCTGGGGTCTAGTCTCTACTCTGTTACTCACAAGTTTGTAGCCTTTAGTTTTTTTTTTTTAGGACACCAAGTTTTCTTTAATTATTTTTTTGGGGGAAGGGACATCACACTTCTGCTCAGTTAAGAGAAACATTTTTTGTCAGTACAGAGGTCTTCTGTGTACACTTATCATGCCATGAATTCATAGGGAATGGCTTCCAGCAGCTCAGGCTCCTTTCCGTTGTTCTCACAAAATGTGCTTCTGTGGGTGGAGCAGGCTGACGCTTCAGTTGAACCCAAGTACCTTTCTCTTTGGCTTCCTTCCTTTTCTGATCATTTTCCTTCACATGTTTCAGGAAGCTATCTCGGCTCTTAGAGTGCTCAATGTGCTCAATATGTGCATTAATTCTCTTGGCAAGAATCTTGCCCTTGTTTGTTCACAACAATGCCAATTGCATGCTGGGTGACATTGTAGACTCCCAGTTTTGCCGTGGTAGCATTTGTGGGGCATTCGTTTTTGAACAGTGTTCATCCCCTTTATGTCCACAATATCAGCTTTCTTATAGATTTGCATGTATGTAGCCAAAAGAACAACTCCATGTTTTCTGAAAGGCCTAGAGAACAGATAGCAGGTGCCTCTCCTCTTTCCCTTTGTGTTTGTCATTTCAGCGAATTACTGGAAGATGGAGGTTCTGGCTGAAAAGAAGCCCTTTAGTTTTGTTTTTTGTTTTTCTTTTTCAATTTTAGAGAGAGAAGAAGGGAGAGGGAGAGAGAGATAGAAACATCGAAGAGAGAGAACAACGAATCAAACTGGGCATGGGTCGACGCTCAACCACTGAGCCATACCAGCCAGGCATTTGTGACCTTTAGTAAATTATCTTTTGTGGGCCTCACCAGTCCTCCCTGCCATAAAATGAGAGGCCTAGAGTAAATGAGTTCTAAGGTTGTTTTCTAGTTCTAACCTTTCATAATTTTAAGATTTTCACAACATGATTTTGCAAATTAAAAGTAATTTGCCAACTGATGTGTGAATGTTTAAATGCCTCTAGAAGCTAGAGCCTAGATGAGAAATCAAGTTGTGATTGACTAAAGTACTTCAAAAGGAGCTTCCATCAGAGGACCACAGGGTCAGGTCATACTATACTATCCCGAACACTGTGCTTAGCTCTTGGTAACTAATAAATAGGAGCTATCATCTACATGATTATCAATACAAGCCTTTAGGCATTTAAAATCTCTCTTTCTAATGCATTGAGATGTCCTTTTCTTAAAAAATCATCTTATTAGATTATATTTTTGTTAGTTATTTGCCCCGTTAAACCAAACTTAGCTTTTGTCAATCTGTATACACTCAGATTTTAATGATTGATTTGGGAATCTCTGAAGAACAATATTGTCCTGACGTTTATGTTCTGGTTTCATAATGTATCAGTTAGATAAAGGAATGACTCATTATTTTTATGTTACATGTGAATTACTTTGTGTCAGAAACTTTGGTGGGTCTAAAAACATACACATTGCCCTTGGACATGCTTAAGAGTCTGGAGGAGGAGAGACAGGGAGGTAATGACAATAATCGCCACATAACAGTGTGTGAATGTGTGAATAAAGAAAACAGGATCAGGAGATTTCAGGAAAGAGGTAACATTTGAGCTAGGTCTTGAAGAATAAGTGGGGGTTTTCGAGTAGAGGAGGACATTCCAGACACAGCAAAGTATAAAACATTATGAATATGTTGGGAAAGTAGCTAATAGTTTCAGGTTACTGAAGTGGAGGAATGGTTATGTGAGGTGGGGGATAGGAAATAGAAAGAATTGGGATCAGATTGTATGACCCAAATAATACTGTATTTAAAAATTTGTGTGTTACCTTCAGAAAGTTATGGTCTCCAGAGTTATGATATGGTAACCACCCCCCTCACAGGGTGCACAAGATAGTCCATCAAAATGTTAGAAAATGTGCATGTGTTCCTGTGTCGTTCTTTTATATTTTTTGTTTCCTAATTATTAGTATGATAGTCCATGTATATAACTAGTCTATATAAAATTTTAAAAGTATATATGAATTTATAGATAAATGTATATACTATCAGGGGATGGGCCCCCAATTGTTACTGTCAGAAATATATGTGCTCAAAAGAGCTTAGAGATCACTATAATAAAAAAAAATCAAGAATCATTAAAGCCTTGCCCTGGCCGGTTTGGTTCAGTGGTTAAAGCGTTGGCCCTTGGATCAAAGAGCCGTGGGTTCAATTCCAGTGAAGGACATGTACCTCGGTTGCGGTTCGGTCCCTGGCCCTGGTCATGGTCGTGTGGAGGCAACCAATCGATGTGTCTCTCTCACATTGGTGTTTCTCTTCCTCTCACTTTCTACCCCTCCCTCTCACTCTATCTGAACATAAATGGGAAAATATCCTTGGGTGAGGATTTTAAAAAAAAACACAAAGAATCATTAAAGCCTTTAAGTTGTAATATGAGCATATTTGTTGATGCAGAAGATAAAGTACAAATGGTACAGACTAGAGGCAGGGAGGCCAGTTGCAGTAATCTACCTGAGAGATGACTTTTTTTTAAAGCCATAGGGAGATGAAGAGGAAGGATCAGACAGTAAGTAATTATTCTGCATAAGAATAAGCAGGACTTGGTGACTGGTAGAATGTGAGGATGGAGAAAGGAGGTGGGGCAGGAAAACTATTTTAAGGTTCTACCTTCCTGACTGGGCACAAGGCAGTGGCGTGAGCAGGAGACTGTGACATCCATGTTACTGGAGAAACTGCAGGTCTGCAGCTCAAGGTAAAGGATACTTATTTACAGATAAGCAAAGGTCAGGTTGAAGGAATGAATGATCCATCCAGGGAGAGATTGTACAAGAAAAGAAGATCATGGGTAAAATAGAGAAGCCAACATTGTGGAGGCAAGTAGAAAAAAAGGAGGAGACTGCTAGGGAGATAAAGAAGAATCCATCTCAGAGCAGAAAGGGTTAAAAAAATAGTGAAATTGCTTAAGTCAAGGGAGATTAATTTCAAGAAGGAAGTGAGGAAATTGTAAATTCTACAGAGATCAAATAGGATAAGGACAAAAAAAATAGAAAGTAGCTTCAGGAGTTTGTTTGAAATAAAGGAAACATAATAAATAAAAAATGAACTGAATATGAGGTGAGAAATTTGAAATAATGAATATTGGCTATCCTTTCAGGTTTAATGGTAATCCTGCAAAGACTGACAAAAGCATTGTAAATTCTACCGATCCTTTTGAATGCTCTTTGGCAGTATTGTCAAAGTCGTAAATAAGTATTAGTACCCTTTGCCCTAAAAATCCTTCCAGGAATTATTTCTAAAATATGAACAGAATTATAGTTTGAAGATGCTATTTATAGTAGCATATAAACAAAAATAATTTAGAAGCAATTTGTATCTGAGAGTAAGGGGATGGAGAAGTAGTTCTATACACCCATTCCTGGACAGTATAGCCCATGCTTAAACGTTAATATAACATTGTAGCCTTTGAGAAATGAACATGTCAAAATGTGAAGTTGGAAAAGCAGGAGAAATAGATCTATACTCTGGTTGTATAATCATGCTAATAAAGATAAAAGATGTGTAAAAGTTGTATTAAGATGGTAGAATATGGCCCTGGCCCGTTTGGCTCAGCAGTTGGAGTATCAGCCTACAGACCAAAGAGTCCCGGGTTCGGTTCCCGCTAGGGGCAAGTACAAAAAAAAAAGGATGGTAGAATATGATTGATTATTTTTTCCCCCTGAGCTTTTGATAATGAAGTGTGTGTGTGTGTGTGTGTGTGTGTTTAAATAATGGAGAGTAAAACAAAAGCAGTCTTTTGGTTTTGTTTTTTAACTATGAAGTGAGCCAAATTAAAGTTTTAGATTTGCAGAGAGCAGTAGGACATACAGAGACCAAGAAAGACAGAAAGAAGAGAACAGACACTTGGGAAAGAATCCCTGATGGGCTAATAGATGGACTTGGCTCTTGGGGAAAGTGGGGATGAAGGGATTGCTGTTTGTCATGGCTTCACTTGTGATTCCATCATTCAGCTGGCATATCAAATCCAGTAGCATATAAAAAAGTGCTTTGAAGTATTTTTTTTTGTATTCACAGGTGAGGTAATATTCTACAGTTTCTGTCATCTGCTGTAGAGTCTTTCTGTGTCAGAAAAGATATCTAAAAGTTAATGTTGACTTACTGAATTGGATTTATATATATATATATATTTATATATATATATATATTTTTTTTTAAGGAAGAGTCTCTACCTTAAAATTTTAAAATGAATGGCTGTGCTAGGTAATCTTTAAAGCCCCTTTTAGATGCAATGTTCTTGGGTTCTCTGAAATATCTTATTAAAATAACATAATATGCCCTGCCGGTGTGGCTCAGTGGTTGAGTGTCGACCCATACACCAAGAGGTCGCTGGTTCGATTCCTGGTCAAAGAACATGCCCAGGTTGTGGGCCTGATCCCCAGTGGGGTGCATGCAGGAGGTGGCCAATTGATGTTCTCTCTCATCAGTATTTCTGTTTCTCTCTCCCTGTCTCTTCCTCTTTCTCTAAGATATCAATAAAGAAAAAAAGTTAAAAAAATAAAATAAACCCTTGCTCGTGTGGCCCACTGGTTGAGCATCAACCCATGCAGAAAGAGATACTGGTTTGATTCCCAGTCAGGGCACATGCTCAGGTTGTGGGCCCGGTCCCCAGTGGGGGCGGGGGGTGCAGGAGGCGGCCAGTCGGTGTTCTCTCTCATCAATGTTTCTATCTCTCTCTCCCTCTCCCTTCCTCTCTCTCTAAAAGTCAATAAAGAAAAAAAAATTTTTTCTTAAATAAATAACATATGGAAAACTGCTTTGGAAACAGAAGTTTATATATATATAAATTTAGAAGAAGCCACCACAAAATTTATATTGTTAGTTTTTATTGTTTTAATGTAATAGTTTGGCTAAAGTTAGATCTTTACTATATGAAACATTAAGAGAGTTTTAAGTTTCATTACCATAAATGAACATATATGAAATTTGATAGATTTTTTTCATGCTTTTTAAAATTGCTTAGCAACACTCTGTGGTTTTCATTTTTACTCTGATTTGCTATCTCATTTCAGAAACTTGTCAAAACTGGAGAAAATAATTGGTCTCTGCCCGAACTGGTACATGCTGTGGTCCTACTGACACATTATCATGCTTTGGCAAGCTTTGTTTTTGGTAGTGGCATCAATCCAGAGAGAGATCCAGAAATCTCCAATGGATTCAGGCTAATATCAGTCAACAATTTCTGCGTTTGTGACCTCGCTAATGACAACAACATAGAGAATGCATCCCTTACAGGCAGCAACTTTGGGGTCAGTTTTCTTAACTCTCTGTACTGTTTTGCCTTTACACTTTCTAACGTTAAAAATATCTAGAGAGAAGAATTTATTCTCTGATTAAACAGGATATATGTACTTGAAATATTTTAGCATAATTTTTGTTACTATAAAATTGTAACCTGTACCTGGAGTTCTGAATTATCTTAAAGAGGCTTATACAGCAGATAGATATTATTGCAAATCATAAAGACTAAAATGGTGATGCATTCTAGTGACCCTAGGCTTTTAATGTTAGACCCTTGGAACAGTAGATCCTAGAACAATGTATCTTTGGTCTATAAGGTGCTAGAACAACCAATAGAAAATATATCATGACAAAAAATTTAAAAATTTGAAGCTGCCTCATTTAAAAAATAAACCATAATATAATTTAATATATACTAAATTCTAGAATTCTAGATTAAATATATCTACATTTATAAACTTTCTATATTTATGCCTGAGGAAAACATCATATTTCTGAAAATGTTTGAATCTGTGATAAAATTTTCTTTGGAGTTAGTCGAAAACCCATTTAGGAAGTTAATAATAGAATTGATGCCACTGTACATAATGAGGTGACCTTGGGAGGTGGAAACATTTACCAGAACCATTTCTAATATTAATAACACCATCGTTATCTTACCTGGCCCCAGATTGTAGGTTCTCTAAGTGAACTGGAGGCCTTGATGGAAAGAATGAAAAGGCTTCAAGAAGATAGGGAAGATGAAGACGCATCTCAGGAAGAAATGACCACTCGTTTTGAGAAGGAGAAGAAAGAAAGTCTTTTTGTTGTCTCTGGAGATACTTTTCATTCATTTCCTCATTCAGGTACCTTTCTTTCACTGTATCCTAGTTGTTCTTGGAACCCTGACAGACCACCTTCGGTATTTTCCACGTAGATATGTAAAAATGATCCTGCTTCCATGTTCCTTTAATTCCACTCGCCTCTGCGTTGCGGATGGCGTACCTAACACTATTGCTTCCTCTCTCATGTTGGTGTGTCTTCGAATACATTTCAGATCCAGTTGGGAAAAACTTCCATTTTTGTACTCTATACACTGTCCTGCAGAAAATGATATTCAAAGAAGATCAGTTGCTTATAAAGTTAGATAGAAATATTTAAATTCATCCTACTTTTGTGATTTTTTTAAATGATAAGTGAAATGCTGCTTCAATAGATACAATTTTTAAAAAATATCTTTGCCTTTTTTGTGGGTGGGAAGTGTGTAGGAGGACTGTTCTCACTCTGCTGCTTTTCTAGATTAGTTCTAAAATTAAATTGTATTTGCATTTATTTGGAGAAATCGTTGAAATTTTATAAAAATGTATTATTAGGTCATTTTCTTATATTGACTTTGGAGGAATTTATTCCATATTTAAAGCTAGGCTTCTTTGCTGTAGTCTTAAAAACATATTTTTATTTGATACTCTAAGAGACTTTGAAAATTTGAAATAGGAGGGAAACTTTTCACTTATGACTAAAAAAGATATTGAACACCACATAGTAAATGTTATTAAAATAGCATAGACTGAATAGAAAGCTTAAACCTTTCAAAGTCATCAAAGTCATCAACCTACATAACATTTATTTTTTTAAAATAGAATTCCATTTTGGTTTTAAAGGGAGCTTCAAAATGACTAGTTTTAAGATAGTCAGTCTCAGAAATTCGGAGCGTAATTGATTCGGCCATAACTTGTTTGTTAACTTTAAACATAGCATCAACCAATAGCTCTCAGAAGTTTTACCAGGAAAAACAAGAATCCCTTTTATCATTTCCTGAGATGATCTTTTTTAATGAAAGATTTTATCTACAAAATTGAATATATTAAGTAACAGTTTCTCAGAGCTTCTAACCAGTAGAAAATCCCCCCCCAAAGGAAACCTGGCGTTTTATTTATTTGTTTAATATTCATTCTACAAACATTTATTGAGTACCCTATATAATCTCAGCACTATGGTAGGTAGATTTTTCAGGCTAAATGAGACATGGTTCCTACTTTCTGGGAGCTGTCATTGCTAATGGGAAAGCCATAAATAATTATAATACATAGTAGGATATGGAAGGTATATGAGCCTAGAAGAGGACCTTGAACCCAGACTTGGTGGAGGAGGAGTGTGGACAGAAGGAGTTCCTAGAGGATGACTTTCTCTAACCACTGGCTGTAAGCTAAGTCTTAGAATCTTAAGGGATGTCAGGCCATGGCTGGGGGATAGGGGAATTGGTGGTAAACAGCACTCAGGCCTAAGCCAAGGCACGATGGTAAGGAAACAGGATGCTTGCTTTAGGAACAAATGGCCATGCTGTTAAGACATAAATCATAAGGTAGTAATGTGACAAGGAAGCTGGTTAGGTAGACAGGAGTCTTATCATGGTGATCTGATCTTTTTAACCTTAAGGAACATGTGAGCCGCCATAGTTTGGACCTTTGGAGTTGATATGTCTATAAAACATCCAGTCTGGAAGTGTCTAGCACAGTGCTTCTCAAACACTACTATTCCATTGAGCCACTGGGAGATCTGGCTGGAATGCAAGTTCTAGTTCAGTCCATCTGGGCTAGGACCTGATAGGTCCACTTTTGTCCCAGCTCCAAGTGATACGAATGCTGCTCATCTGCGAACCATACCTGGAGTAGTAGTCTAAAGGTCAAGAGGGGGCTTTAAGCTCAAGATAAAGTTTTGGAAGTTTCAACCTATAATTAGGGGCTAAAATCAAGAGTTGATTATAAAAATCATCCAGGGAGAACAAATGGGACAAGAAAAATAACGAGCCTAGGGCACTGGCCAGTATGACTCAATTGGGGCGCATAGTGGTCCTATATACCAAAAGGTGGCAGGTTCGATTCTCAGTCAGGACACATACCCAAGTTGTGGGTTCAGTCCCTGGTCCAGGCATGTGCAGAGACAACTGATCGATGTTTCTCCCCCTGCCCCTTCTCTAAAATTAATAAAATAATAATAATAAGCCTAGGGTGAACCTTCTAGGCAAACCAATATTTTTAAATGTAAACATTTTTATTAAGGTTACTAATATCTGTTTACTTTTGGACATTACTTGCTAATAGCTTCGCTAAGATCACTAGAGCTTAAAAGATAAATTCTTTTTTTGTAGGTGTTTCTCTTTTCTTAATACTGAAAATCTATTCTGGATCCCAGTCTCTATCTTCCTGGATCCTTGAGCAGGGATTACTGCAGTCTTAGACCCTAGCCAAGACTTTTGTTCTAATTTTAACAGAAGAGGCTGTATCATTTGTAAATCATTCAAGGAAATAAATCATGTCATTATTTACTCTTAAACATTGCCAGTACTAAATTTGCTGGTCACACAAAGATAACATAAAAAATGACTTAATACATTGGCTAATCGAGTCATTTTTATAAACTTACCATGTTTTAAAATGGAAATAGAAATCTATTTTTTCCTATAAAAATTTTTTTGGTTTTAAAAAAAAAAAGTCTTGGTTTGACCAGTGTGATAAAGCATTCCAGATTCCATGTAGAGATTCTAAGAATAACTTTTCAAGTCTTTGGCAGGAAAAAAAAATTTAAGTGTTATATCGGGGTGGTATTCTGTAACTTGGTAAAGAGTTAACTAGCTTTTAGTATTTTGTTTTGTTTTGTTTTTTTCAAGTTAGAAAGGTGTTTTATTACATTTTCTGTGTTTTTTTTATGCTAATAGTTACTTCTTAGGGGCAGAAGAATGCAGACAATGTGCAAAATACTATTTCCTTTCTGTTCAGACTTTGAAATATTTGTTCAGGTAGAATTAAAATGAGAACTTTAGATTTGTTGATCAGAGTACTAATTTTATTTTATTTTTTTAATTTGAACTTCTTGAGATAAATTTAGGAAAAGATGTGTGTGGTTTGAAAGCTCTTTGTACATTTCCTGCTGTAGACAAAATTGTCTAGAAAACAGGTCTCATTTGACTCCTAATTTTAAAATGAATGAATGGATAGTATTCATAGGATACATCTTTATTTGATTAGTTACTCTGTGGTTTTGTTTGTTTGTTTTTTATCCTTACCCAAGGACATTTTTTGCGTTTATCTTGAGGTAGAGCGGGAGGGAGAGAGGGAGGAAGAGAGAGAAACATTGATGTGATAGAGACACATTGAGTGGTTGCCACCCACAAAACCCCAACCGGGGCCGGGACAAACCACAACCAAAGTACGTGCCCTTAGCGGGGAACGAGCCCAGGCCTCTCTGGTCCGCAGGCCGATGCTCCAACCGCTGAGCCAAACCAGGCAGGGCTCTTTGTTGTGTAAAAATGTTAGAAAGTCATAGGACAATATGAAAATGTATATGAGCAGAACAAAAACTAACATGAAACTCAAGGACCTGCGGAGTAATAGTCAACTCCAGTGTTGATATTTGGCAAATGAAACCCCCGGGTTGTACAGTGTTGGGGGAAAGATCACTTCAAGAGACAAATTGTTTTACAGAGTTTAGTTATCACTTGCTGTTCTTGGTTTAATGTTACTTAATGTTCCACAAAACTCCTAGCTTTCATAGTGGCCTCAGCAATTGCATGTTACATTTTTTTGCTTCATTTCTATTGATTATTATGTGATGGGTTGAATTGAGCAAAGCGTAACCTCATTGGTAAATGTTAAGAAATAATGTATTGAAAACATCATTTATAAAGCATTTCTAGCCCAGCGGTGTGGCTCAGTGGATTGAGCATTGTTCCATGGACTGAGAGGTCCCAGTTTGATTCCTGGTCAAGGCATATGCCCAGGTTGTGGGCTCAATACACAGAAGGGGGCGTGCAGGAGGCAGCCAATTGATGTTTCTCTCTCACAAACATGTTTCTATCACTTTCTCCTTCCTCCCTCTCTAAAAAATCAATGAAACATCTTTTTTTAAAAAAAAAAAAAACAAAGCCCTGGCCGGTTTGGCTCAGTGGTTAGAGCATCGGCCCTCGGACCAGAGAGTCATGGGTTTGATTCCGGTCAAGGGCACATACCTCAGTTGCTATTCAGTTTCCAGGCCTGGTCAGGTTGTGCGGGAGGCAACCAATTAATGTGTCTCTTTCACATCAATGTTTCTCCCTCTCTCTCCCTCCCCTTCCCACTCTATCTGAAGATAAATGGAAAAATATCCTCGAGAGGATTTTTAAAAAAGTGTTTCTATTTACCCCAAATAGAATGCCGGAGCACAAGGAGACAACAGAGTGGTTGAGGAGTAGGCTAGGGGGAGCCTGAGATTTCTCTTTAGAGAGCTGAAAGTCACTTCCGGGCTTCAGATCAATTTCAGTAGTTTAATGTTTACAAGTTTTCCACGTCCTCTTTAATTCCACATCCTCTTTAATCCATGTTGTATTTCTTACTGACAATACTGACAATGGTATTCATAACTTAGTCAGTTTACTTATTTCTTAAGTAGATAACTTCTTTTACTGTTACTGAAACAAAGAAAAAAGAAATAACAAGTACATAGCATAGTATTTGGAATATAGTAAGTACTAAACAAATGCCAGTCTATGTGTAATAAAGAAGTTATGTAAGAATTTTTAATTAAATATTTCCTAACTTGGGTAGCCTGGACACTTGATCTTTCCTGCCATTATCAAGCACTCTAATTAGTCCATGTTAGTGACCCAAGGAAAGGTTAAAACTTGTGAGAAAAGAATACTTATTGCAAGGCTTTTCATGAAATATCAACACTTAAAGGTAATGAAGGTACTACTAGTTTACCAGAGCTTTTGGATGAATTACTATAATTGTACTTGTTTTTAAGCCTATCAACACTGTCCAATGAAGAATTATAGTTTTTTATTATGCTATAAAATTGTTTGGTTAACTATTTAATATTTATTTATTAAATATTGAATGTATTTAATATTAACGAAGATACTAAGGAAATATTGTTCTTTGCATGGAAGGAGCTAGTTTTTCCATTTATTTTGAAAAATATATCTATATTTTTTAGAGCAACAGGTGCTAAATAAAGGTAGGTTGTTCATTCCCTTTTAGTGTTTGAAATCGGGAAAAAGCAATTATAAAGACTAACCTAAAAGAGTGAGTTAAAAGAGACTTATCTTTATATCAAGTTAACATGCATTGGGTTCTGACAATTTCTCAGTGGTAAATTTTTAATATTATCAAGGATGCAGAAGTCAGCTGTCTTAAGATATTATTGTCATCTTTCTGTCTTCCTTAATGCCTCTTTGATAGTATTCCATTCACAATTTCTTTTTTTTTTTATCCTCACCCGAGGACATTTTTCCATTTTTTGTTCAGGTAGAGTGGGAGGGAGAGAGAGGAACAGAGAGAGAGAGAGAGAAACATCGATGTGAAAGGAACACATCGAGTGGCTGCCACCCGCACGACTGACCAGAGCCGGGGACAAACTGCAACCGAGGTACGCGCCCTTAGCGGGAACCGAACCCTGGTCTCTCAGGACCGCAGGCCGACGCTCTAACCGCTGAGCCAAACCGGCCAGGGCCCATTCACAGTTTCATTGGCACATTGTTCACTCCATGTGTTGTACACCTTTTATTTTCATGTGCACAGAAAAACACACATATCTTAGGTGTAGAACTCAATGAATTTTCACACACAGAACCTTCCTGTTTAACCAGCAGCAAGTCAACTAAGAATAATAGTGGCTCCTGAAAGTCCACTTTCCTTCCTGTTGTTATATTCCCTTCCTCGTCCTTCTCCCCATATGCCTCATGGTAAACTAAAAATCAACTAATTTTCCCTGTGAATACATCCAGATGAAACATCATCTGTCTAATTTTAACAAAATCTATCTGAACATTCAACTCAGTTAAAGTGGTCTCTGCCTTCATCTCTTTCCCCACATCCCACTTCATCCTCACAGAGGTCAAAAGTTTAAGCCTTATACTCAAAGTCCTGTGCTAACTTCCTTTTCTAAACGAACTACTACTATTTAGATATTTCACTTTAGTCAGTTTTTTGACTGAGTAACTATAGTTAAATGTTAAGATGACCAGTATTTGGTAATTAAATTGTACTCAAAACTTCAACAGTAGATATTTTATATGAATTTAAGCCAAGTAGTCCATATTGTTACTGGAAATTTATGGAAAAGATGAAAAGTGGAAGAAAATGGGGATGCTTCATTCTTCTATGTACAATTTCCTTAACACTAGATTGTTTTATTATTGTTCTTAGATTTTGAGGATGACATGATCATAACATCTGATGTCTCCCGATATATTGAAGACCCAGGTTTTGGATATGAAGACTTTGCCAGACGAGGAGAAGAGCATTTGCCAACATTTCGAGCTCAGGTATGAGATGTCTTTATTTTAGAGAAACTAGAAAATAAATACTGTTATTATAACTGTGAAATGTTGAAATTTAAATAAATTGACTTCTAACCCTGGCCAGTTAGGCTCAGCAGTTGGAACATTGGCCTGCGGACCAGAGAGTCCCCGGTTCAGTTCCCACTAGGGGCACGTACCAAAAAAATAAATAAATAAATAAAATAAAATAAAATAATAAATCGACTTCTAAAGAAATTAGTAGGTCATTTTGATTGAGGCTGTAAATCTTTTTATTTAATCTAGTTTCAGCCTAGTCTAATTTGATGTCCTAATAGATGGATTATTATTTCAACATTTTCCCTGATAAGAAGGCAAAAGGAAACTGCTTTATTCATTTACTTGCATTATTACATTGTAGTTGTATAATAGTCATACCATTTTGCAGGGAGGAGCATAATAGAGAAGAAATCAAATGATGTATCACATTTATAATAAAAAGATATTTTGTAATAAGATCATAAACCAGTAGCTGATGGTTTAAGAACTCTCCACTCCCCACCCATAGGAAAAAAAAAATAGTCACAATACTGATGTGACCCCTAAAGAGAGTGTAAATTGGAATTAAGACAAATTCCTATACACCTGTTTCACATGACCTGTTAACTATCCATGTCACTGAATAGGTTTGGTTACATAGGAATAGTCCAAAATCTTTTGGGTTCCTTCCAGATAAGGGCATAATTTGCATAGTACTTGACCACAGGAAGTCGCCAGTTTATCACCTACATGCTAAACCCTGGACCCCACTGAGGAAACATGGCACTGCAATCTACAGACTGATGTGAAGGTTTCTTAGCAAACCAACACACTTAGAAATAAATTTGAAATATCTTCACTTACTTGCTTAAGTAGTTAATAGAAACCTAGAGTTTATTTAAATGAAGAATGCCTATTTTGTCATTGTATACATTTTATTCTTTTAGGACTATACCTGGGAAAATCATGGGTTCTCCCTGGTGAACAGACTTTATTCTGACATTGGACATCTTCTTGATGAAAAGTTTCGCATGGTCTACAGTCTCACCTACAACACTATGGCCACCCACGAGGATGTTGACACAGCCATGCTGCGCAGAGCTTTATTTAACTATGTCCACTGTATGTTTGGAATCAGGTATGCTCATTGTGGAGACAGTTTTATACCTTCCTAAAACAAATTCAGACACGAGTCTTACTTCAATCCTGTTTAGGAGTATGTAGTTCTAGGGAGAAAATATTATATGTGGACTTCTGATTTTAAAACTTAATTCCATTTTATAGAAAAGCATTTTTCTGTGTTAACTGTTGTGAATCTTAACGTCATATGTAAATACAGTAGTAACAATTTACTTAAGAGAGAAAAAAATATCAGGAATCAGTGGAGATAGGATAAAATCAAACTCTATTTGAGAATCCTTCCTGGAAGAATTAGCAGTAAAAAACCATATATTGTATTCCTTTAGATTACTTTAATAAATACTGGTTGGTTGGTTGGTTGGTTGGTTAGTTAGTTAGTTTTGAAGGAATGGTAATTAGGATATAAATAAAACTAGGATAGGTTTTTGTTCTCAAAAGCTTACATAAGTTCATGTAAGAACCCTGAAATAAAACTGTAAGTATACATTAATAGCCTCTAAATTTAGAAATTAGCATTGAGAGGACAGTGAGTAAGTGAGATTGAATGGTCTAATCAGGAAAGTTTTTTTTGTTTTTTGTTTTTTTTGAGAATGTACCTTTTTGAGCTGGCTTTTGAAGGCTTTTATGGAGATAAATTTTCAGAAAGAGAAAATCCCCAGTTATAAATACCTTCAATTTGACTCTGTACTATATCCTTTTTGATAGAGTATCAGAAAAGTCTTTGTGAAAATGGAATTAGAATTCGTTAAGCCAAGTAGTTTCTATAATTTTAACTTAAAAAAACCCACAAAATTTTCTGAAAAATTAACATTTTACCTAAAGGACACTAATGCAATGGTAAATAACAACTGCTATTTACCTGTTTACCATCCTAAACAATAAGTTATCACAGAATCATATAATTTTAAAACAAAGATATTAAATTAAGAAAAATAAACCCCAATAGAATTTAATTCAATTGTGATCAATATTTATTATAGTTATGATAATAAATATCAAATGTTATGATGATTATATTTATCTGTGGGATGCTACTGAATAAAGCTTGTATAAAATCTCTAGAGGCTGCAGTTTAAGTGTTATGTTTGGGTTAAAAATTAACTGAAAATATAGACCAGAAATTCTACAAACCCCCACCGCTGCATTTACCCTCCTGTCTGTCTCTGTGCCCGTTTCCTCTGGCTCCTCTCTTTCATTGTGGATGAACTGTCCATGCTTCTATGCACTTGGGCACAAAATCCCATCTCCTTTCTTCTTCTAAAGATCCTCATTCTAGCATCTCCCCTCTCCAGCTGATCACCTTTACTCTCTTTATTGGATTTTTCCCATCTGTTTATAAACATGCTGTTATTTCTCTCATCTTTAAACACACTTTTTTTTCTTCATCCTGCTTTCCCCTCTGGCTATTGTCTCATTTTTCTGCTCCTGTGCACAGCAAATCTCTTTGAAAAAATTTTGTATATTTACTATCACCATTTTCTCATCTTTCATTCTCTCTGGAACCCACTACCAGATCAGGCTTTCACTCCTCCCTCACTAACGAAACTGCTCTTGCTGAGGTTGCCAGACCTCTGTATAGCTACTTCTGGCGGCCAGTTTCATTATCATTTTATTTGAGTCAGTAGCACTGGACACAGTTCATTACTCCTCCTTCTTTGAACACTTGACTCCTACTTAGGGCTTTATACCTACTCCTTCTGTATTTTCTCAGATGTCAGCCTCTCAAGCCTTTCGGCCCACCCTAAGATCACAGCCCCTCTCCTCCCTGCCCTCAGTTTCATTTTATCTCTGTAGCAGTTATCACCACCTGACATACTATGTTTATCTTTTTAATTTTTCTTTTTTCTCAGAATTTAAATTTCATGAGACCATTTATATATCACCAGTGCCTAGAAGAATACATGGAAAGTACATGGCACATAATAGGTACTCAGTAAATATGTTGAGATGAATTAATTAATGAGATTTTGGTATTTAATTACTGGACAATAAATATCTCTGGTACAACTGTAGAATTCAGAAATTTTGATTTTGTCACTGTTGCCATTGCTCATAGGTATGATGACTATGATTACGGAGAAGTTAATCAATTACTTGAACGAAGCCTGAAGGTTTACATTAAGACAGTGACCTGCTATCCTGAGAGAACTACCAAGCGCATGTATGATAGTTACTGGCGTCAGTTCAAACACTCAGAAAAGGTATGTTTCATGACTAAACATATACCATAGATAGATGCTCATTATAAAAGTAATGATTGTGAAAAATTATGCATGAAAATATTAATAAATTAGTGCCATTAAAGAAATGGAAGTGGCATTATTTAGTCACTTTTTTAAACATTCTTAAATTCAGGTTTATTGAATATTAACTAAATTTTGGTTGTGTATTTAATGTGGTGTGTAAAGTAAAAGTTTAGCATTGGGCTTTGAAAAATTGGCTCTGAATATAGTTATATTTTAAAGTACATTTGGGCCCTGGCCGGTTTGGCTCAGCGGTTAGAGCGTTGGCCTGCGGTCTGGAGAAACCCGGGTTCGGTTCCCGCTAAGGGCACGTACCTGGATTGCAGTTTGTTCCCGGCCCTGGTTGGTTGTGCGGGTGGCAGCCACTTGATGTGTCCCTTTCACGTCGATATTTCTCTCTCTCCCCCTCCCACTCTATCTGAACAAAATATCTAAATAAATAAATAAATAAATGAAGTACATTTGGAAGACTGTCTATCATTCTAACAACTAATAAAAATCAAACCTACTGAGATGTTGTGTTAAGTGTAACTGTGTCTTAGCCCAGAAGGCATATTCATGTAGAGATTTTTTTAAGAATAGCTTATTGAGCCCTGGCCAGTTTGGCTCAGCGGTTAGAGCGTCGGCCTGCGGTCCGGAGAGACTCGGGTTCGGTTCCCGCTAAGGGCACGTACTTTGGTTGCAGTTTGTCCCCGGCCCTGGTTGGTCGTGCGGGTGGCAGCCACTCGATGTGTCCCTTTCACGTCGATGTTCCTCTCTCTCCCTTCCTCTCTCTCCCTCCCACTCTATCTGTACAAAAAATGGAAAAATATCCTCGGGTGAGGATAAAAAAAAAAAAAAAAAAGAATAGCTTATTGATTTTTAGAGAGGAAGGGAGAGTGAGAGAGAGAGACATCCATGTGAGAGTGTAATATTGATCAGCTGCCTCCTGCATACCCCCTACTGGGCATCAATCCCCACACCCTGGAATGTGCCCTGACGGGAAATGGAACCAGCATGGAACAACACCCAACCAACTGAGTCACACTAACCAGGGCCATTTAGAGATTTTTCAACTGCAGCCTTTAGAGTTAACCTATTAGAACAATAGTTTCTCATTACGATTGGGTAATTTTGTATTTTGACAAATTAATGCAGGACCTTTGAGTCTAATAATATTATTATATAAAAATACTTCTTTAGATATAGAGGAATCATTATTTAAGAATTAATAAATATTTCCCGGTGGGTGTGGCTCAGTGGTTGAGCATCGACCCATGCACCAAGAGGTTGCTGGTTCAATTCCCGGTCAAGGGCACCTGGGTTGCAGGTTCCATCCCCACTATCTAGAAATCAATGGAAAAAGTATCCTAAAGTGAGGATTAACCCCCTCTCAAAAAGAACTTGCCTTAAACCCAAGGTCTTTTGACCTTTAAGTCCAAGAATCTTCCATTTATCCAAGCTAGAGAGTAAACAGAGTAAAGTTATTTAATTATTTACTAAATAACTGTATGACCTTGACAGAGAATGTTAGGGCCTCAATACCTAACAGATTTTTTGAAGTCTTATGGCCAGTCACACACCCGATAAATATCCATTGTATCTCCAGCATCTCTTCTTGACAGATCTTTATGCTCTGTTTATATGTTTACAGATTTTCTTCACTTACTAGGCTACATCTAGAAATTATCTTCATTCATCAGGAGAATATATCTAACAGTATGTCCCACCGATAGAGTTACCAAAATAATTTTAATATATCATATTTTTTGCTATCTTTATTAATTTATTTTTGTTACAGATCTGTCTCCTTTTCCCCCCATTGACACCCTCCTCCCGCCCCCTACCCCAGCACTGTTGTGTCCATTGGTTACTCATACATGCATATAAGTTTTGTGGTTTATCTCTTATTTTGGTAATGTATTTTGAGACTATGTGAATATTCATTTTAACCTATCAGCTGGAGAAGTAGTACCCCAAAATAAGTTAGGTGCTTGTTCACAGCTATTTCTAAGACTGTAGGGAGGCTGTGCATATGTGATGAGCACCAGACATTAATTACAAACTGCTGGAAGCTTCAGATGTTCACTGTAGTATCCTTTCAAGTAAACAGTAGAAAAGGTTTTTAAAAGTTTTCCCTGAAATAAGCATAGGCTATAAAAAATGTAGGGCTGAGTTTTAGCCATATAAAATTTTACACCTAGAATAAAGTATAATGTGTAGAAAAGTTGAAATTTAAAAAAATTAGTTTTATTTTATAACCCAAAACATTGATTGGTTTTACATAACATATATTCTAAAAAATTATTACAATTGTTGACTTTTAAGGGATCATCTTTATCACTTACAAGAGCCATTTCTTATACAGTTTTCTGTGTTACATCATACACAAGCATCACAATGCTCGGGGGTGTGTGTTTGTACATGTGTCTGTATACACAAGAAAAACCTTTGTTTATAATGGTCATTTTCATTTCTAGGTTCACGTCAATTTACTTTTAATGGAAGCACGGATGCAAGCTGAACTTCTATATGCTCTTCGTGCCATAACTCGGCATTTGACCTGAAACATCACCCAGGGAAAATGCCATAGATGTGTAAAGACCTTTTCACATATGATATACATCAGAAGCTGTTTGTGATGTAGCATCAAAAATTATTCAATTCTCTGTGTCAAAGTTTAGCCGTTTTTTGGGGGCGGCTGTAATGTGCAATGATGTGTTTTCTTTTTCTTGATGCTTAACATTACTAACAATTGCAAAAATAATACTGCGGAGCACTACTTTGCATTGTTTATAGTTGGATTTTTGGAAACTGATCATAAATCATGAACCTGGTTTTCTTGATGCTTAACTTCAGCGCTTTGGGGTTTGTGTGTATGTGTATTTCTCTCCCCAACTTTTTTTTTGTTAAATAAGGAAAAGCGCTTACAATCTGCTCAAGCAATTGTTTATTCAGATATTGGAATTCAGCAAAGAATAACCTCCTCTGGCCACTCTCAACTTCTCCTGTTGTGTCCTAAATCTGGTAGAGGAAAAGCATGCGCTGTTGAACTAAGCTGCTCACAGGACACGTCCCTGTGTCCCCAGGAGATTATTTGTCAGGCACTGTTCAGTTTTTTTTTGTTTGTTTGTTTTTGTTTTTTTTTTACTGCTATTGGCGATAACGTGAAATGTGATACAGCCATTGTCCATAATTTAATGTGAAATTAATCATGATGAATTCTATAGCATGCTACTGAAATGCCAAATTCAGCTATTTTCTTTCTCTTCTGAAACATAAGTTTCAGTTTTCCATATCAGATGTATATATTAAAAGTGGAATTATGCACAATCCTTTCTATCACTGACAGTAATCCTCAGTCATCTTGAATAACCAGTGCTCACAGTGCTGCTTACAGTTCATTTAGTTGGCACATACAAACTTGTACCCACACAAGGCTGACCAAAAATTTTCTTTGCACATTTTTCTTTTCTCATAGTGTTTTCTATATTGCAGTAAGCAGAAGATTAATATACCTATATTTTTTCCTGTTAGGCTTCTAGAACTTACTTTCCATGATTTTTCTTATAATAGGTTAAACAGTGTATTATTCAAAGGTAAAAATTATGTTTCTATGCATTAATGTGAATGAACAACAACAACAAAAAGAGTGCAATATGTTAAAAAAATACTGAACTAAACTTTCCCCCTATTATGTCACTGCAGAAGTGTCCTTTAAAACAGAGCCATAAAGAAATTTGGTTCAAATTTCAGATTTCTTTATTGCACAAGGCTTTTGCCTTACTGGGGTTGAACAACGTTCCTTTCATGATGCCAAAGCGTCCCCTTCCCCAGAAAAATCTCTCTGGACAACTGGTGAAAAGGAAAGATGATCAAGTCTTAAGGGAGGAATATAAGCATCCAAAAAGTCACATTTTTGCATTGGTTTATGTTGCTTGACTAGACTATCTTCATAGAGCACAACATTATGTGTTTATAGCTTTAATTTGTGTTATGCTGATGAACCAGTGAAGTGCCTAAAGAGATGCTTGCACCTACCCAGTAGGACACGACTGCACGGCTCAAACACCCTTTGGTTAATTAATGGTGACTTGAATTGTGCACCGACATGCTAATTGTTTTAAAACAGATCCATTTTTTTCCCTAGTAAATAATAGAGTTAAAATTTTGTGTTAGAGTTCCCACAGAGATTTCATTTTAGATTTACTTGTTGTGTAGGACTTACTTTTTTTCTCTCTTTCTCTCATGAAAGCATAGTGGACTAGTGTTTTGTTAAATCATTTCCTCCTTTTTATCATCCTTTTCTGGGACAATATAGTAGGTTGCTTTTTTTTTAAAGATTTTGTTCCAGATAAGAAAATAGAAAGATGACTGTAAGCCTGTTAACATAAGGTAGTTCTGCATTTTTGGATTCCAGGATCTTCTCTGAAAACTTCCATGTAAGGAAAAAATTACTAATTTTTTAAAGACCCGGGTGGTTTATTTATAGAGATTATTCACAGAACTCGTGCCAGGTTTCTTCTGTTTTGTTTATTGATATACCATATGTTGGTTTTCTTCAATATCACATTATATAGATATGTATTACAAAGAAAGTATATAGGAGAATGGCAAAACCCAGACGACAACATAAATGTCCATTTAACTTCTTGAACTTGAGAACTTTCAAGTTGAGGATATCTTTTATTCTTGATATTTATTTTTTTTAAATAGAATTCTTTCAGTTAATAGCCCTACATTTTTGTGCAGGTGACCTCTATTACAGGATAAAAATGACTTTTATATATTGAAAAGGAGGAGAAATTCTCACAGAACACCCTATGAGCTTTAGACCAAAAGGGGAAACAAGGTTTAAGTAACGAAAATGGCCACTTCGTTTTTGTTTTTTTCTTTGTCCCCCCAGAACTGTAAGTAGTTGGAGTTTGGGTTACGGAAATATTAGTGCCTTTACTAGATCTCTTTCCTAGCAGAGTTTCCTTTCAGCTCAGCATTGATCTATCTCATCAGTAATCAGGAAAATAAGTTGGCTTGGAACTAGAAACAAAAACAAAACAATCTATTTATGAACCTCAGTGAACCAGCCTAGAGAAGTTGACCTCTGAAGGTGCCTCAGCACCTGCTCAGACGCAATGCACACAGCATTCCAGGTTGCGATACCATTGTGCAACGAGTTTGCTGTGGGCTTTATCTAATGCAGACTTGAAATTCTGATGCGGTTTTCCAGGGTGGTATTTTTTCAGAGTATTGAATTTACTATGTAGTAATTTATAGTATAGCTTTTTATATTAAAGTGTGATATTTTTAAAAGAACTATCTGGTTCCATTGGTGAAATGATGTGGTTATACAAGACGCTAACCTACACCGTGGGCTCACATCGTGCCAAACTTAAATGTGCAAGTGTACGTGAAAAAAGCACATGTGAATGTGAATTCTCTACCTTCGTTGCTATTGCGTTAAAATCAGTCTAGTCATCCACTGACGTATATGCTTGATCGATGTCTATTTACTTGTGAATTTCAAGTTTTCCACCTTCTGTTATAATTCTTCATTTCTCAGATCACCTTAAGAAATATCTAACTACTCTCCCATCTGAAAAAAAATCTGTTCTTTAACCTGATCCCTTGACTGTGGGAGTGGCCGGGCGGCTGCCTCATTGGATCCTTCTGATTAGGCCTCCTAAGGTGGACTCATGATATTTAGAAGAAAAGAGGCTTTTGAGACAGGACTACTCATTACCTTCCTCACCTTTTTAAACTAAGTATATTGTCTTGGTCTCGGGAAGAATCTTTGTCCCATTTGGGATACTTTGTAAATAAAAGATGGCTAATGCGGGATCTAGGGCATGGCCTTGGCCTTGAATTATGGCTTCAAACCCAAATAATGACCAAGCTCCACAGGGGTGTTTTAGAACAGAACTCAATGTAAGCTTTATATCAAATCCTGTTGGAACCAGAACCCCAGTTTAATTGTTACAGTCTCCTAGAACTTTTCAGTGCTTGAAAAAGCTAATTAACATGATTCCAGAGAAACTTTTTCCTTTTCCACCTTACAGAATGTTTTTTTTTTTAAATCCAAAATCTTAGAATTTTATGCCGCAGCAAAATAAGATTATCAGCAAACAAAGATCTGTACTTAAAAATAGTTCACCACTTTAGTGCGGAGTGCATGCATGTGTGACGGTAACATTCTTTTAAACTCTAAGGACAATTCATCAGGGAAAAAATAAATGTCAGTGCATATTATAAAAATGATTTGCACTGTACTAGTAGAATGAGGTTTTTGTTTTGTTTTATGTTGTGTTTAAAGACAATTCTAAATCATTCCTATGGAAAGCAAGACCTTAAGCTCTTTAATAGGACTTTTTCTTTTATGCAAATAGATGGTCTTGCATGGAGTAAACTTATGCAACAATAATGTTATATAAATAGATATGAAATTTTCTTAGTATAATTTAATAGCAAACTTAAAGATGTATGGCTCTACTGTTCAGATCGAGTTTTAAGTTAGCTAATCTGTATAATCAGAACCTATTCTAGGTGGCCGTCATCATAAACTATGTTTCCCTATAATATCCCTCTGGAGACTGAGAATCAAAATAAGCAGTCTTTCCTCAAAGCAGTACTGTAACATGAATGTATTCGTCTCAGTCAACAGAACTTAAATGCGCCCAGTCTGTGGAGCTTATTTCCATGCTAATGTGGCTTAGTTAGCAGTGTCTGCTCAGGTGAGACCTAGAACAAAAATTAGCAGGGGTGAAATGGGTCATAGAGGTAGAGGTATATGTCAAGGCAGAGCCTGGCGAGGAAGGAAAAGGTTTTCAAAACACAGGGGATGGAATTCCAAGAGTGTGGCTGACCTCAGTATCATACACTTAATATAAAGGAACCTTCCCATTGTGGGAGCTTCTACCTGCATTCAATCCACCCTTTCCACCTGCTTTCTCTTCCTCCAAGTGCCTCAAGCTCTACACATTCCCTCTCCTCCCCCTCGCTCAGCCCATCTTGGTCTGATGCCTTTTCACACTCCAAACCAAGCATCACCAGCCTCCTGCTGATAGTCACCAGCATTTACTTTTCTGAGTCACTTTTTCTCCATTCACTAAGAATGTGATTTTGTCCCAACTCCCTCTAGCTCCTGCTACCATCCAGCTATATTTTGGCTAACCTTTGCCCCAGATGCCCTACCAGATACTATGTAGCACCAAGTGTAATCCTGTCCATCCCAGACTGTTCTACTTTTCCCAGCTGCCAAAATGTCTTGCTCTCCTCTACCTCATCCCCAAAGGGCCTATAAATTCAGAGTATCCAACCTTTTCATGGATTCACTCTCTGTTGTTCAGTAATACTACTGTCCATATTTTAAATAAATCATAGAAGAGTTTTGCCTTCTAACAAAGTAGGAATCTTTATATTTATACATGATACAGAAATTAAACTATTTCTACCATGCAGAATTTAGCATTTAACAGGATTTTGAAGTGATTGAATTGCCATTCTAACCTGGATCTGTATTAGGTAATAAATACTGGTATTAGTCCAAGTTATTTGAATGTAAATTTAAAATTCCCCAGAAGTCCAGACTGATCTGTAACCCTTCAGTGGGACAGGACATTTCTGGCATACAAATGGATGGTGGTTTAGTCATTTGTTTTATTTGATGGTATTTGGGCCTTGAAACACATTTCTAATAGAAAGATAATGGTAAAGGGTGTTTAGGTGGTCCTATTGGATCACAGAAGCCCATTTGATTATAATATGTTTAAAATACCACAAAATTGGCTGCATAAGAGTTTGATCAAGATTTCCTGGGTTAGACTAAGCTTCTCACCCCCATGCCTACCCTGTTCTCATGGTGGGGAAATGTCCTAAGGGGTTTCCGGAAAGGGAACACATTGGAAAAGTCGTCTTTATTTTCTGCCTGCACTTAGGTACATCCAGACAGTATCATTGAGGAACGGGAAATGCACAGGGAAGGAAAAAGCAACAGTTCTTTCTCTCCAGGCAGTGTACTCACTGTAGTTCGTAGAGAAGAACTGGTCAGGTTTCAAACGTGGGATGTGTTTGTCTATAGACGGTTGTCTGACCCACAGACCAACGAACCACCTGTTGGAAAGTATCGATTATTATGATCAGTGGTGGTATCTGGATGCTTTCCATTCCCATTCCTGAACAACCCAACCTGACTGCAGAGTCTAGTAAATGCCTTTAAGGGCCCAGGAATGAATCAATGCCTAGATAAGAAATGAGACAATAATGGAGACTGCAGGAATGGTTTTATTAAATCATATGTCATGAAGTATTTGTTCTAGCTTTAAATTAATCATGGCTGCACCACCATGAAGTACAGAATTGAAAAAGGAGAGATACAGGGTGGGGGAAGGAAGAATATCTGATTCTTTGCAATGCTTGTAGAAATTTTTGAAATAATGAAATGCATACTATAAAATAGCCTTTAGAACAAACACCCCATTTTACAGCTCATAGGGCACATCAAACAGTAGTAAGAGTAGTAAGTCTAAATATGACATATATAAATCTTGGTATACAAATTTGCAAAAACAGTCTATTTCACCCCTCAATTTAGCCTCTTAGAAGTGAATGTATGAATCCTGGTTAGCTAGGTGTTTGCATTATGACACTGAACGAAATGGATTATACATCTCTTTCTTAATCAGTCTTCACAAATTTTCAACCGGCTTCTGAATCTGATAAGGAAGCATCATGAGGATAGGTAAAGGAGACATCCATCGGGTAGCCAAGTAGTTTCCTTTGTGATGTTGAGGCTGTTTCTCCTTTCTGAATTTTACTGGTTCTCTAAAATAAACAGTAAGAGTTAAATGGTACCCTTGTTCATCAAGGAAAGTTATCCAAACTCTATATCTAATGCTAATATTTTCTCTGCATTCATTTATCTTCTCTGGAAAGAAAATACAATTTTTCCCTTCCTCTTTCTCTTCACATTTACTCTTTTCAACCTCAGATAAGAGAGACAGAAAGCAAACCACAAGCCAATTTGGCATCTTTGCGCTAATAGAATAGTGACATCCACATGCACAGCCTGAACAAGGTGAAAAGACCCTGTCAAGTCGACTCGGAACACGACCTTGCCTCTTGGACTAGCTCCTTCAAACCTGAAAATAACTTTTCTGGTCGTGGAAGAACTGGATGTATTCTTTAGCTTATAACATAGGATTTGAACTTGAAATCTCTTTTTTTTTTTTAAAAAATCCTGATTTTGCAGGGCAGCTACATGATGAATGTATATATTAAGACTATTGTAGCTGAATTGCACATGAAATCAGATTGCCAACTTCTTGACTTTCAATTTTAGACTTCATTTTATCCTTAAGTTGTGAGCAATATATGTAGCATGCTGTGAAATGTCTATTATAGTTCTTTAATTCATCAGTATTAATACAGGATTATCTTTTGCGTTCCTTGGTACTTTTTATTCAATGTAATCAGAAGCTGTGATGTTTTGCCTTTGTAGTCCTGTGCTTTGTTACTGTAATTTTTTTTTTTTTTTTTTACGAAGCACGTGACTTTGGACTAATGTGAGGCGGATGATCTTAAGACTGCTATATGTATCAGTCTCTTACTATATAAGGTTTTCCATTAGAATAAGCTTTTATCAAATAGATCATTGATGCAATTTAGGATTTACACAATTTTCATTGTCAAATGCAGTCTTATATTTATAGTTTCAATTCTGAAAATAGCAGACTTGATGAACAGCCACTTGAAACGTGTTCTGGCGAACCAGACCCTGCTGTAGATGTATTCAAAGGTAGTTAACCATAAGCCTTTCAACTCTTAAGCCCTCCACATGAGTCAGCAGTTAAGGAGATTATAGAACCCATGACAGCTTTTTGTATGTATAACTAGGTTTTATTTTTCTTATGTCGCTGATTTTACAGCTCTGACTAAAGCTGACCTGAATGGATCAGTTTATGTGTAATATTCTAGTGCTTCAATGCCTTGTTTTTTTTTGGAGGGATGGGTAATATTATTTGAACAGATGCAGAAGGAACTGTTAGTGAGTCAAGATAAACACATTTGAAATAAAGGAACTGTGTATTAACATGTTAACAATTCATAACTGCACTTTTTATGACATTTTGAAAATCTATTTATAGGTACAGAACAATGGGTTTTGTTAAACTGTATCACATTTATACTTGCAAAAATTTATTTCATTGTTATTAGTAGGAATTTTATTGGTTCAATAAAATTGGCAAAACTGAATCCTGATTGTTTGCTTTTATACATGTATATACATATTTATATTTACATTGGAGTAGCATTCTTGCCCAGTGTTGTTTCTGTTTCATTATTGAGACAGGCCTTCTAAAAGACATCAGAATTGTAAGAGTCATTTTTTTCCCTTATTCCTTCCTGACCCACAATTTTCTCATGACATTTCTTATATTCACTCAATATTGCATTAGTAGAATATTGCAATAGTATAAATTGGGCAAAATGTGTAGTTATTGTGACCTTTTAAAATATCAGTTGTGATCTCAGCACGATGAAAATTAATTTCACTATTTTCTCATTACAAAAATAGTAAAGAAGTAATGTCGTTTGTTTTATTCATTTTTTAAAGGAAATTTTTAAAAATATTTTCTTTATTGATAGAGAAGAAGGGAGAAGGAGAGGGAGATAGAGACATCAATGAGAGAGAACATCAATTGGCTGCCTCCTGTATGCCCCCCCCACTGGGGATTGGGTCCATAACCTGGGCATGTGCCCTGGCCTGGAATTGAACCGGGAACCTCTTGGTGCATGAGTCGATGCCCAACCACTGAGCCACAATGGCCGGGCTTGAAGTGATATCATTTTATGGATGAGAAAATTGAGCCCAGGAGCTGGTACCTGGATCGGCACGGTGAGGATTTGTACTAGGTCTTTCTGATACCACTTTGTACACTGAACTTCACTACCTTAGTTCAGCCTACATGTCTTGCTTAATGAGCTATATGACCATGCTGTCAACATGACATTTTACTGCAAACCAGAAGTTAGATAACTTTCCTCTCTGGCTAACCAACAGCTTTTATAGTTGTAAAAAGTTGATTTTTTTCCCTCCAGTCCTAAAAGTCCCTTTGATTTAAAAGATGGCCCTGAGGAGAAGGTGCACAGACCAGCATATAAAATCAGCACCTGTCCATTTAAAGGCTGGTTGTTTTCCCAACGAGCAGCCTGGTGCTAAAGCTAAAGAAGACTCAGGAAAGCTTGCGCCTGCTGCATTTTATTTTTAGGACCACTCTGCTACATGGCAGAAGTTACCTAGTCAAAGGCATCGGTTCTAATGCACAGAACCTTCTAACTGTGAGTTGAGAAGAAAGTCGACCCCAGAGGATGTCTCTTCTCCCATGATCCCACATACTTCACGTTTCAAAACACAGGTGAGCCCAAACCTTTCCATAAAACTCTTTAAAAGGAACTTGAGGGAAGAATTCTTTTTTTTTTTTTTCTCACCCGAGGACATTTTTCCATTTTTGTTCAGATAGAGTGGGAGGGTGAGAGAGAGAGAGAAACATCGACGTGAAAGGGACACATCGAGTGACTGCCACCCGCACAACCCCACCAGGGCCGGGGACAAACTGCAACCGAGGTACATGCCCTTAGCGGGAACTGAACCCGGGTCTCTCTGTACCGCAGGCCGACGCTCTAACCGCTGAGCCAAACCAGCCAGGGTGGGAAGAATTCTTAAACTTTTCTTTGCATTGGCCTGCTCCCAAAATAAACGTAAATAAATCCTCTTTGCATCAAGGTGAAATTCAGGAGAACTCCCCTGGCTGCAGGACTTCCCCCCGTACTTGTGGAGGTGTCAGTGCATGCCCTGTGGGCACCACTTCCGTCACCACGGCCCCTCTAGCTCCCCGTCCTGCTGCCGCGGCCACCAGGTCCATGCAGGCTGAGGCCAGGTGTCCACAGCAACAGTAGGAAAGTACCTCCTGTGGCCCTGGACTGCTTTCCTGCCCCGGGGCTGCACTGAGTGTTCGTGGCATGATGCCAGGGGGAACTGCCTTTGAGCTGAGTGTGCACAACCAGAAGTGCAGGGAGTTAACGGTTAACCCACAACCCACGAGGTGACTGACTGGAGACAATGCCGGAATGCTTCCTTCTTTCATTTCCCTAGGCCACAATTTGGAGACTCCCAGGGCTTGGTGGAATTGAGTACCAGTCCAACTCTATCTCCTGTTTCAGCCCTCCTGTCCTCCGGTCCTGCCCCTAGATCTCAAATCAGCTTCGGTCCTGGGCCCTGCTTCCCCGGGAGCCCCGGCCAAGATAAGGCAGTACAGGCTGGGGGGTTAGAGAGCAGGTCCTAAAGTCAATACAAATCTAAGCGCCACCACTACTCCTACCTGACCTTCAACAAGTGATTTAATATTGTAGTTCCTTTGATTCCTCAGCTGGAAAATGCAGGTAACAGTAATAAAGAAGACACAGCCCTTGTCCTCAGGAAGGGGGAGGTGTGGGTGAGAGGGTAAGACAGGGGACATCTGTCAACATGGAAAAGAATGAGGTAACAGCTTGTGAAATGGGGGTGGGGTCATAAAAATAGCACTGTTAAGAAAGAAAGATCTCTTATCCTTTGAGACGACATGGAGGGACCTGGAAAGTATTTCCTAAGTGAAAGAAGCCAAGCAGAAAAAGACAAATACCACTTATGATCTCACTTATATACAGAATATAATGAACATAACAGTCTGAGGAATATGGTAGACCCCAAAAACATGGAAGTAGGGCACAGACTGACATCCCTCAGAAGAGGGGGTGGGAAGAGATAAACCACAGAACTTATATGCATGAATGCATGACCAATGGACATGGACAACTAAGCCGGGGACGGGACGGGGCGAGGGTGGGATGGGGAGGGGGGTGCCAATGGGGTAAAAAGGAGAAAAATCTGTAACAACAACAACAAAAATAGCACCGTTTATCAAGAACCTTCTCAATATTAGGAACTTGAAACACAACTTGATTATAATCACCCTGCAAGTATGTATCATCCCCATTTTAGACAGTTAAAAATACAGGCTTAGCAAAATCAAGCAGCAAGTCAGGCCGAACAAGTGGGTGGCGGCCCTGTTCTCAGGCCTGTCTGACTTTCATAGAGACTCTTTCTCCTGTATGCCAAGTAAACACGCGGTGCCCTTGAGTTTGCTGCTATCAGTGACGGTTCTAAAACGGGTAATAGTTAAACAGACACCTGTAGAATATCTGAGATGTGGATTTGCAGAGACTGTGGAACACGACATTGAGGTAGGAAGAGGGAGCAGGGACCCCCTGTACCAGGCAGGGCGGGTGTGCTGCCCTCACATTAGGAGGTGAATTTGGAAAGTGTCGTTTGGTCAGACTGCAGGGTCTGAAAGGTTAGGCTAAAACACTTATGTTTATTCATTTGGAAAGGAGATGAAAGCCACTTTCAATGGCTTTTTTTTTTTTTTTTTTTTTTTTTTTTTTTACCACTGGGATGGATGTGTCCCTGATAACCAAAGTCTGACTAAAATTTCAGGGCAGGAAAGACAGGTCTGCAAGGTAACTGTGATTCCTCCTTTGGGAAGTTCTATGAATATCTGAAATAATTTCCTGAAAACTTTGACACATCCTCTGATGACGTACACCAGGCTATCCTTGGTGAAACATCCTACTGACACACAAGGCTGTACCTTCGCACATGTGTGCACACAGACCCTTCTGGACCAACGTGAGCCTTCAGCTCCGTGCTTTCTAACTACACTTGACCTAAACGAGTAAGTTAGGGCACAGCTGTGGTAGATGGTTTGCATAAATAGCACAATTTATGTCCTCCCTGCATCCACACCCTTTGGACTGTAACTTAACAAATTCCCTCATCCAGAGGTGAGTCTGTTTCTCCACTTTTGAATATGGGTTCACCCCATGGCTTGAAGGGGCATTGTTCAAGCTGCAAACCTGGGCCTTAAGAGCACGTGTCCACTGTCCCTTGAGAATCCTGCCACGCTGGGCTGGCCCGCGGAGGGCCGCCAGCTGGGCGAGCCTCCGCCGCGTGGGATCCACCCGAGGTGGGCAAGTCAGCCTGCCTGCAACGGTGCCGGCCCGGGCGCCTCCGCAAGCCCGGCTCCGACAGCCCGCCGGCCCGCAGACTCCTGGGTATCGCGCACCATTGAGGTTCTGCGGTGTGTGTTCCACCCATTATTGTGGCAGGATCGGGAGCAGGGTGTCTGAGGGGGAGGAGGAACGTGTAACAAAAATAAATTAATAAAAATGGCAACAACAACAAAAAATAGACATTCCTGGAAACCACCCAAACTTCCTGAATCAGAGGGAGGTACGGGTTCACACAATTTCCCTTTTTACAAGCTCCCCACATACATTTTTCTGCACTCAGCACCACAGCGGTCTCCTTTTGAGACCCAGGTGTCATTTGGAAGCAGGGCCCTTAAGTGACATTCTCTACGTGGCCTTAAATCCACCGTTACTGCCCCGCCCCTGCCATTCAGTCTAGGACCAGAAACCGAGGAGGGTTCACATCTTATTACATCAGCAAATCAAATGGGATCTCGAAGGAGCTCCATCAAAGTTGGATTCCCCAACTATTCCTGAATTGGAAACTACAATCAAAAGGCTAAGTAAGCCCTGACCAGTTTGGCTCAGCGGTTAGAGTGTTGGCCTGTGGATCCAGGGGGTCACAAGTTCAATTCCCAGTCAAGGACATGTACCTGGGTTGCAGGTTTCATCCCCAGCCCTGTAGGCTTGTGCGGGAGGCAACCAATCGATGTGTTTCTCTCTCTCTCTTCCCCCACTTCCCTTCCACTTTACCTAAAAAAGTCAATGGGAAAATCTCCTCGGGTGAAACACCCTTAGTGCACAGTTCTGGATTGCTTTCAGGAAGGGCTGTGCCAACTACACCTTCAGTGCGCATGATGCCCCTGCGCTGTGGTCACAAGCACTTCAGACAAACCATCTCCTTTATGATTCTGCCCAGTGCTGGCCTTGTGAGATGAAGCAGAAGTCCTCTGTGCCTGACCAAGGACTCAGTGAGGGGCAAGGCTCGGACAGCTGTGGGGCTTCTGAACCAGCAAGAAGGACTCTGATCACTTGTTTGAAGCAAAGAGATTCTGTGTGGTTTTAAGACAGATGTGGCTACCCAGCCTGAAGGGGGTATGGCAGCACTGAGTCCGCGGCTGCTTGGCCAGGGCTGGCGGAGACGGCCTACAGAGCATTCCCTACAGAAAGCACCATCTGAGCTGAGA